GAAAATCTTTTTACCCCAGAATAATATATATGCCAAAAGTATCCCTAAAGCATGAAGGAAAAATAAATACCTTTCCAGAAAAGCAAAAACAGTGAGATTTCATCAACATCAGACCTGTCCTACAAGAAATGCTAAAGGAAGTTCTTCAATCTGAAAGAAAATAATGTTAATGAGCAATGAGAAATCATGTGAAAGAAAAACTCACTGGTAATAGTAAGCACACACAAAAAATTCTAACACTGTAATTGTCAGGAAAAACATGGAAAAACATCTCATGTTCATGGATATGAAGAGTGAAAATTATTAAAACGGCCATACTGCCCAAAGGAATTTACAGATTCAATGCTATTTCTAGCTAATTACCAATGATATTCTTCACAGAACTAGGAGAAAACTATTTTAAAATGTATATGGAACTAAAAAAGAGCCCAAATAGCCAGGGCAATTATAAGCAAAAAGAACAAAGCTGAAGGCATTACATTGTGTCTTCACACTACATTAAGGGGCTACAGTAACCCAAACAGCATGCTACTGGTACAAAAACAGGCACATAGACCACTGGACCAGAATACAGAGCCCAGAAACAAGGCCATACACCTACAACCATCTGATCTTTGACAAAGCCAACAAAAACAAGCAATGGGGAAAAGACTCCCTCTTCAATAAATGATGCTAAGATAAATGGGGAGCCATATACAGAAGATGGAAGCTGGACCCCTTTCATACACCATATACAAAAATCGACTCAAGATGGTTTAAATGCAAAACCAAAACTATAAAAAACCTGGAAGACAACCTAGGCAATACTATTCTGCACATAGAAACAGGAAGAGATTTCATGACAAATCTCTTTTTTTGTCACCAAAATCAATCACAATAAAAATAAAAATTGGGGAATTTGATCTAATTAAACTTAAGAGCTTCTGCAAGGCAAAAGAAACTATTAACAGAGTAATCAGACAACCTACAGAATGGAAGAAAATATTTGCAAGCTATGCATCTGACAAAGGTCTAATATCCAGCATCTATAAGAAACTTAAACACATTTACATGAAAAAAACCAAACTACCACCATTTAAGAAGTGAGCAAAGGATATGAACAGACACTTTTCAAAGGAAGACATACATGCATCCAACAAAATATGAGGAAAAGCTCAACATCACTGACCATTAGAGAAATGCAAATCAAAACCACGATTAGATACCATCTCACATCAGTCAAAATGGCAATTATTAAAAAGTCAAAAAATAACAGATGCTGGTGAAGTTGCAGAGAAAGGGGAAGACTTATATACTGTTAGTGGGAGTGTCTATTAATTCAACCATTGGGAAAGCAGAATGGCTATTCTTCAAAGAGCTAAAAGCAGAACTACCATTCAACCCAGCACTCTCATTACTGAGTATACATCAAGAGAAATATAAATCACTCTACCATAAAGACACATGTACACAAATCTTTGTTTCAGCTCACAATAGCAAAGACATGGAATCAACAAAAATGCCCATAATGACAAATTAAATAAAGAAAATGTGGTAATACACACCATGGAATATTATGTAACCATAAAAAAGAATATCATGTCTTTTGTGGGCACATGGATGGAACTGAAGGCTATGATTCTTAGCAAACTAATGCAGAAACAGAAAACCAAATACTGCATGTTCTCATTTATAAGTGGGAGTTAAATGATGATAATTCATGAATACAAAGAATGGAACACCAAAACCAGAAAACTATAGGCCAATATTTCTGATTACTGTTGATTTAAAAATTCCTAACAAAATTCAAGCACACTGTATTCCATAACATTTTTAAAAGATCATTCATCATGACCAAGTGAGATTTGTCTGACGGATGTAAGGATGGTTCACTATATGCAAATCAATCTGTGTGATACCTCATATCAACAAAATGAAGGAGAAAAACCATATGATCAATTCAATTAATGCTGAAAAAAGCATTTGAGAAAATTCAACATCCTTTTATGATAACAAGCCTCAAAAAACTGGGTATAGAAGAAACATACATTAACATAATTAAAGCCATATATGACAGACCCACAAAGCACACCTACAAGATCAACATAATAAAAACCATATATGATAGAACTACAGCAAGTATCATACTGCATGCGGAGAAACTGAAAACCTTTCCTGTAAGATATGGAACATGACAAGGATGCCCACTGTCCCCACTGTCATTCAACATAGTACTGAAAATCCTAGCTAAAGCAATCAGACAAGAGAAAGAAATAAAGGGCACCCAAATTGGAAAGGAAGAGATCAAATTATCCTTGGTTACAGATGATATGATCTTATATTTGGAGAAACATAAAGATTCCACAAGAAAACAATGAGAACTGTGAGACAAATTCAGTAAAGTCACAGGACACAAAATCAACCTGCAAAAATTAGTATCATTTCTATATGCCAACACTGAACAATCTGAAAAAGAAATAAAAAGTAATCTAATTTACAATAGCCATACCTAAAATTAAATACCTAGAAAATAAGCAAAGAAGTAAAACATCTCTATAATAAAAACTGTAAAATGCTGATGAAAGAAATTGAAGGGGACACCAAGAAATGTAAAGCTATTCCAGGTTCATGAATTGGAAGAATAGACATTGTTAAAATTTTCATTTTACCCAAAGAAAACTATAGATTCAATGCAATAGCTATCAAAACACCAAAGACATTCTTCACAGAAATAGAAAAGCAATTCTAAAATTTATATGGAACCCCAAAAGATGCAGAATAGGTAGAGCTGTCCTAAGAAAAAAGAACAAAAGTGGAAGAGTGATAACAACCCACAAAAAACTGGGTATAAAAGGAGCATACATTAACATAATAAAAGCCATATATACCTGACTTCAAGTTATGCTACAGAGCTATATAGTAATCAAAACAGTATTGTACTGGCAAAAAGCAAACAAACAAACAAAAAACCCCAGGTACATAGACCTATGGAACCATACAGATAATCCAGAAACACATACACACACCTACAGTGAACTCATTTTGACAAAGGTGCCAAGAATATACAATGGGAGAAAAGACAATCTCTTCAATTAATGGTGCTGGGAAAACTGGATATCCACATGGAGAAGAAGAAAACTAGACCCCTATCTCTCATCATATACACAAATGAAATAAAATCGGATTCGACACTTAAATATAAGACCTCAAACTAAGAAACCACTGCAAGAAAACATTGGTGAAAGTCTCCAGGACATCGGTCTGAGAAAAAAATTTCTCAAGCAATACTCCACAAGCACAGGCACCTCAAACTATGAAACCACTAGAAGAAAACATTGGGGAAAATCTTCAGGACATTGGTCTAAGCAAACATTTCTTGAGCAATACTCCACAAACACAGGCAATCAAAGCAAAAATAAACAAATGTGATCATATCAGGTTAAAAAGCTTGTACACAGTGAAGGAAAGACAAAGAAAAGACACAACCCACAGAATGGGAGAAAATATTTGCAAACTATCCATCTGACAAGGGATTCATAAGCAGAATATATAAGAAACTCAAACAGTTCTGTGGAAAAAAAATCTAATAATCCAATTTAAAAATGGGCAAAATATTTGAATAGGCATTTCTCAGAAGAAAATATACAAATGGCAAACAAGCATATGAAAAGGCACACATCACTGATCATCAGAGAAAGGCAAATCAAAATTACTAAGAGATATCACCTCCCTCCAGTTAAAATGGCTTAGATTTAAGCCATTTTAACAGAATGATCCTGTCATTTGCAACAACATGGATGGGACTGGAGGTTACTATGTTGAGTGAAATAAGCCAGGCACAGAATGATAAACATCACGTGTTCTCACTTATTTGTGGGAGCTATAAACGAAAGCAATTGAACTCATGGAGATACAGAGTAAAATGATGGTTACCAGAGGCTGGGAAAAGTAGTGGGGTCACGGGGGAAGGTGGTTATTGTTAATGGGTACAAAAAATAGAAAGAATAAATAAGATCTAGTATTTGACAGCACAAAAGTGTGACTATAGTCAATAATAATTTCCTTGTACATTTCCAAATATAAAATAAAAATTTAAAAATGAAAAATAATTCTACTACAAATAATACATAATATGTGTATGATGTGATTGATACATTAATTAGGCCAATTTGCTGATTTCAGAATGTATATATGTATTGAAGCATCATTTTATACTCATAAATATATAGTTATTATTTGTTAACAAAGTATCTTTTAAAGTGGAAAAGTAGTTTCAGGTTCATTTTACTTCAGGAGGACTGGAAGGGAAAAATATAAGAATTCTCTGACAAGCCCTTTCCTCAATATGGGTTGTGCATAATTTCCACACAGAAAGGTTCCCTTCCTTCATACAAAGCAAGGGCTCGCAATAAAAATTCCAATGAAGACAAGAACATAAGCCACCATGAATAAGAATCAGAATGAAACACAAATAAGAACATTGTTCTTTTGAAATTTATGTAATAAATTGCATATAAACTCTCTAAAAATATTAAAATGATTAAAAAGCTCCAATACATCACAGCAGACTTTTCAGTGACAACCTTACAAGCCAGGAGAGAGTGGCATGATGTATTTAAAGTGCTGAAAGAAAAAAAACGTATACCCTAGCATAGTATATCCAGTGAAAATATCCTTCAAACATGAAGGAGAAATAAAGACTTTTCAAACAAACAAAAGCTGAAGGATTTCATCAACATCAGATCTGTCCTAAGAAATGTTAAAAGGAGTACTTCAGTCAGAAAGGAAAAGACATTAATGAGCAATAAATATGCACCTGAAGGTACAAAACTCACTGGCAATAGTAAGTACAGAGAAAAACACAGAATATTATAATGCTGTAACTGTAGTGTGTAAACTACTCTTACTCTAAATGGAAAGAATAAAGGATGAACCAATCAAGAATAATAACTATACAGGTATTGATAGACTTACGACCTATGCAACTTACGACCATTCGACTTTACGACCACAATCACTAGCCACGACTGCTCCGCGTCTGGCAGCACAAACGTTGCCCAGCTGGGCGTACGACAGTGCAGACCAGCTTCCGGCAGCACTACCATCTCCGTGTGTACCATTTCAACTGTTATCCCAGACTCAGTACAGCAATTTGTGTTTTGTGTCTTGGATATTTTTCATCAAACCCCTCCCAATAAACTTCTTATACATTTCGAAGCAATGGACCCAAACATCGAACGATTTGCAAGGATTGGATGGATGGCACACGATGTGTTTCGTCCATATTGTGAAATTTATGAAGAAAAAAAGAAACATAAAATTCAGACAAAGCTCACCGTGTTTATCAAAAAACCAACTCCGGTAACCCCACCTGCTGCCTCAGATGACGACATCAATGATCTGCAGCCAAGCACCAGCGGTCAATAAAATGTTTCATACATGTTTATATATTTTGATATGTTTTGCAATTGGGAAAATATTTCCTATGGTATTTTTTACACCTGTATTTTGTATTTTTGTATGCACCTGTATTTTGTAATTTTGTATGTTTTGCAAATATTAAACCAGTTGTACTGGTAATGTAGTGTTTTACTTAAACCTGACAAATGTAAAAATAAGAAACTAAATGGTGTAGAAATGATACAAATGGCATAAAATGAACAAAGAAAATTATGATAAAATATGACTTAAAGATTTTTATAACATCATTTCACAGTACTGTACATATAGCCTACTCAACTTACGACCAAATCGTGTTACGACCGGTCTGTCGGAACCAATCGTGGTCGTAAGTCGAGCACTAGCTGTAATGAGTTTTCAAGACATAGTACAATAAGATATCTATAGAAACAACAAAATGTAAAAACGTAGGAGGATAAAGTGAAGGCGTAGAGGTGTTGCTCATTTTCATTTTACTTGTTTGTTTATGCAAATAGCGTTGTTTTTGTCAGGTTAAAATAAGGGGTTATAAGATACTATTTGTAGGGGATTGGGGGAAGATGGCCGACTAGGAACAGCTCAGGAGTACAGCTCCCAGTGAAAGTGCAGAGGGTGAGTGGATGCCGCATTTCCAGATGGATATTTATTGCCCACAGACCAGGAGATTCCCAGGTGGAGGAGCCCCATGGGTCGCCAGCACGGCTGTTTCGGCCTGTGCGGCTGTTTTGGCCCGCGCGGCTGCTTTGCCTGCACCCTGGCGTGGTGGTTCTCCGTACAAAAGACACTGGTCTGGGTGCCCTCTTAGCTGGCGATTGGAGCCCTGAGACAGCAGAGTCGCCCATTTATCTGAAATAGCGAGCCAGGCCAGGAGATTCTAGGCAAAAAAAACCGCCAGGAATCTCAGCACCGCCGTTTCAGCTGGCCCAGTGAGTCGCAGCATGGGAGATCCTGGCGCCTTTTCAACAGGGAGAGAGTTGACTGCTCAATAACAACAACAAAAAAAAGACTCTGAGTCAGGGAGCCAGGTGATCCGGCTCGGCTGGTCCCACCGCCCCCCCCAACACAAAAAAAACAATAATTGAAAACGCTCTGGGTTGAGTTTCACAGCAAGCACAGCTGAACCCTGGATGGTCAGGCTCTGTGGGAGAGGGGCATCCGACATTACTGAGATATTCCACCACTACGGAGGCAGTCTGACCATCGCTGAGGCAGCCCACCATTGCTGAGGCAACCCGCCATTGCTGAGGCAACCTGCCACTATAGAGAGAGTCTGCCATAACAGAGGCGGGTCACCATTGCCAAGGCAGTTCTAACTACACCCATATAAACAGGACTGCAGGGAAGATCATACAGCAGCTGGGTGGAGCCCACAGCAGCTCAGCAAAGCCTCTGCAGGCAGACAGTGACTAGGCTGCCTCCTCGCTGGGCAGGG